TATAGCGTCTGTCCGGAGAGTTGATAGTCGATCCAATGACTGTGACAAGACGTTGTGCAGGCAAGCTAGGAAATACCACCACACACGTCAAATGCACGTTGTGCAGGCTAGCTAGGAAATGCCACATCACACGTCAAATGCACGTTGTGCAGGCCAGCTAGGAAATACCACCACACACGTCAAATGCATGTTGTTGTAGAAGTTATATATCCCAGCGGGCTCATAACGTTGAGTCGTTTGTTGTTTGGTTGATCAACCTTTCCTAAACGTTGATTCAACGTTTATCATGCGACCAAAGCAAATTAGTCGAGATTCGTTTAGTTGTCAACATTGTTTCAACGTAAGGAACCAACAAAATGTCAACTAATTGTTTCCTTGGCAAATTTGATACATAATTTATATTGGTAATAGGCATCCAACTTAGCATCTATCATTTCTGAACATTAATTTCATAAAAGATCCAGATTGACTTAGTGACAGATATAATCTAATATATTGTGTGATTGTGCATCGATCAACGGACGGAAGTGTTACGTAAATCGCAATTGAAAATGAAAAATCAATGATTTTAGGTATAAAGTCATCAGTTATCCGAATTGCATTAAATTTGATATTTTCCCACAAAACTGTCAAAATTGTATAATTCCCGACAATTAAAAATTTTTGCTTTCAAACACATGCCAGATGTTGACCTTTCGATCGCTTCGTTTGGTCATATCTGGACATGCGCACAATTATCGCGCGCGCATAGGCAGTTAGTTGATCGTTATCAGTTCGGCGTTTCAGATTGGCGAAGTTCAACGAAATATCGTTCTATTTTCAACATCTTCACGGCATGCTGGTGTTTATTTGGTAAGTATTTCATTCATGTATGAGGAAAACGTAGGAATGTTGTTTAAATCTAGCAGGTCAATGTTACAGGAAACGCCGAATTAGGGCTGATGTTTATCTCACAAGGTTATCGGTATGTCACGTACGTGTTTCTCAATTTCGTGGAAGCCCGTATTTTCCATGAAGTTATTTTGTTATTTTTCATATATTTGCATGCACATATTTGGCATTTTGTTAATATATAGTCGAATAAGATTTCCTTTCGTACCCATCACCCGATTTGAATTTTGCAAATATACATTGTTAAATAATCAGTGAAGTACATCTATATAAGGGACCGTTCATAATTTATGGCTGGGGTGTGTGGGGTGGTGGTGGTGGTGATGATGATTTTAAGGGTGGGGGGTGTCAACCGTTTTGTTCAGGGGAGCTAGGGGGTCAGCAATTTCGTACACACGTACTATGTTTAAATTTATTAGAAATCATGGGAAGGTTCGGGGGGTGTCATTCATTGGTTTTGTACAAGGCATGCAGGGGGGGCACTTATTTTGCACATTCATTGGGAGGGGGGGAGAGAGAGGTAATTCACATCGTACACGCTTCTCCATATATATCATCATCACCCCCTAGCTATAACTTATGAACCGTCCCTAAGGGCAGCTAGAGGGGATGGAGAATGGCGAAAGGAAATCTTTCTCAGATCATGCAACGAAAGTTGGGCAAAACGGCAAGTTTTCTTCTAAGAATACAAGGTTGTATTCAATTATCTCTGGTAAGTTAATTACCAAATGCTCTTTGTCAGCATTTTCATCATGACCATAGCAAATAATATATGACAGTAAAGCATCGTCTAATTCATCATAATTCATAGTCTAATTGAATATTCAACTTGCAATTGAGAAATTTCTTTGAAAATGTTTAAGAAAACTTCCATTCCTTTAGTTAAAAATATAAATTGTTTACACTATAAAAGTACGGAGCACCTTTAGAATACAGCACCACAACTTCTCGTGAGGACGATCCCTACCTTAGGTCACGTGTCATTAAGAGAAGCAACCAGTTTGTGAGAACCCGTCACACGCTAAACCCGTGACCTTCGGATTGTTAGCCAGTAGCCCGACAGCTAACCTACTGAGCTACGTCCACACTGTTGCACACTGTGCAAATTTATCGAGTCATTCCTGTGACGTCATGGAAATGAACGGAAAGAGTCGAATAGGTCACGGGCAATTACGAAGGTTACGGGTAGACTTGGTGTCTTGTGATAATAATCTACGGACAATTGCCGAATGGACCCGATGCCATTTGGCACACTCGTCCCATTCCGTAATCTACAAGATAACGTGTGGCGTGGAATGAGCCGATATGCCTCAAACTGAAAAGGGTTGTTGACGTCAGGCGTCAGACGTAGATTTGGCGTTGCATGCATGAATGACGTGCTTTTATATAAATCAGTGATTTTGTGACATAAAAGTGATGTAGGGAACACTGTAAGGATAATGTGGATTGCACTAAGGAACGAGGGAGACATGAGCATGTGTAGTGACGGCACGGGGGTGAGTTAGCCTTCGAATCATTACTGAACAAATGTTGCGTGTGAAAGAGGCTTGAGTGCAAATTCCAGGTAAATTTCCATTAGCCCAAAATTTGTACATTAAACCATTTCATAGTGTACTTTCGACAACGTTTTTGGTTTTCCGTTTTTGTGTGAAAAAAGCATTAAAATGCAAAAGGAAAAACACCAATTAATGGTACTCACGTATTACACCGGACATGTACCTACTATATTGGATTAGGTCCCTAACCCTAAACCCTAACCCTAACCCTAATCCCTTGAAATAATCCTAATAAATAGAATGCATTGACCGAACCGGCAGTATTAAAATGCAAAAGGAACAACAACAAATGGTACTCACATATTACACCGGACATGTACCTGCTATATTGGATTAACCCTAACCCTAACCCTAACCCTTACCCTAATCCTAATCCTAATCCTAATCCTATCCCTAACCCTAACCCCTAAATCCTAAGCCCTAACCCTAGCCCTAACCTCTTGAATTAATCCTAATATGTAGAATGCATTGACTGAATCGGCACAAGCATGACTGACGTGTCCAGTGTAATACATTATTACCGCTTCGAAAAATACGATTCTAATAAAAAAAACTTTTCTATGTGATGGAGCAATTTACTGAATGACAAAAATGTATAAGTTGTGGTGCTGTATTCTAAAGGTACTCCGTACTTTTATAGTGTAAACAATTTATATTTTTAACTAAAGGAATGGAAGTTTTCTTAAACATTTTCAAAGAAAATCCTCAACTGCAAGTTGATTATTCAATTAGACTATGAATTATGATGAATTAGATGATGCTTTACTGTCATATATTATTTGCTATGGTCATGATGAAAATGCTGACAAAGAGCATTTGGTAATTAACTTACCAGAGATAATTGAATACAACCTCGTATTCTTAGAAGAAAACTTGCCGTTTTGCCCATCAACATTCATTCTTGACATCAAAACAAAACAATGGAAGTTTGTTGTTATTCTGTCAGATTTAGTTTTCCAGAAATGATTATTTCAAATTAAATAGGAGTTGTACTGATGTAGCAATTTCGCTAACACGAGTCATTAATTGTAACAAAAGCCAATTTTACATTAAATGATAAGAAAACAAAGTGGGTGGTAATGAAAGAGCATTATCATCTTTTTCTTAAACTTTGTGATGGATAACATTATGCTGGCAAACAAGTGAAATGTTAAAAACTTGTTACCTTAGCATTGCTCCTTTCACGTGATCCACAAATTGATGCCACCCAATCTTCGAAGATGAGATTTTTGCAAATTCCATTAAAAATAAATCTTATTTCTCATAATTAAATGTTCCTTACCAAATGACTTCTTTTATATGTAACATTTTAACCATTTAGAGATATAAATCATCACATCCCTTCCAAACCAGTGTAAGAATGAAAGTCTATGGGTGCAGCTCTGTTACTTGTCCCATCAAAGAATCATTAGTGAAGTTACACATTTTGTAAATAAATAAAAGTTCAAATAAATTATGTAAAATTTCACCCTTCACAAAGACTTACACAAGACATTTTGATGTGAATTTTCGTTGCATGATCTGAGAAAGATTTCCTTTCACCATTCTCTCATCCCCTCTAGCTGCCCTTAGGTACCGTTCATAATTTATGGCTAGGGGGTGATGATGATTTATATGGAGAAGCGTGTACAATGTGAATTACCTCTCAACCACCCCCATGAATGTGCAAAATAAGTGCCCCCTGCATGCCTTGTACAAAATCAATGAATGACACCCCCCAACCTTCCCATGATTTCTAATAAATTTAAACATAGTACGTGTGTACGAAATTGCATCCCCCTAGCTCCCCTGAACAAAACGGGTGAACCCCTCCCCTTAAAATCATCATCACCACCACCACCACCCCACACCCCCAGCCATAAATTATGAACGGTCCCTTATATAGATGTACTTCACTGATTATTTAACAATGTATATTTGCAAAATTCAAATCGGGTGATGGGTACGAAAGGAAATCTTATTCGACTATATATTAATAAAATGCCAAATATGTGCATGCAAATATATGAAAAGTAACAAAACAACTTCATGGAAAATACGGGCTTCCACGAAATTGAGAAACACGTACGTGACATACCGATAACCTTGTGAGATAAACATCAGCCCTAATTCGGCGTTTCCTGTAACATTGACCTGCTAGATTTAAACAATATTCCTACGTTTTCCTCATACATGAATGAAATACTTACCAAATAAACACCAGCATGCCGTGAAGATGTTGAAAATAGAACGATATTTCGTTGAACTTCGCCAATCTGAAACGCCGAACTGATAACGATCAACTAACTGCCTATGCGCGCGCGATAAATGTGCGCATGTCCAGATATGACCAAACGAAGCGATCGAAAGGTCAACATCTGGCATGTGTTTGAAAGCAAAATTCTTTAATTGTCGGGAATTATACAGTTTTGACAGTTTTGTGGGAAAATTTCGAATTTAATGCAATTCGGATTCCTGATGACTTTATACCTAAAATCATTGATTTTTTCATTTTCAATTGCGATTTACGTAACACTTCCGTCCGTTGATCGATGCACAATCACACAATATATTAGATTATATCTGTCACTAGGTCAATCTGGATCTTTTATGAAATTAATGTTCAGAAATGATAGATGCTAAGTTGGATGCCTATTACCAATATAAATTATGTATCAAATTTGCCAAGGAAACAATTAGTTGACATTTTGTTGGTTCCTTACGTTGAAACAACGTTGACAACTAAACGAATCTCGACTAATTTGCTTTGGTCGCATGATAAACGTTGAATCAAAGTTTATGAAAGGTTGATCAAACAAACAACCAAAAGTCAACGTTGATTAAACGTTGACTCAACGTTGTGAGCCCGCTGGGATATATAACTTCTACAACAACGTGCATTTGACGTGTGTGGTGGCGTTTCCTAGCTGGCCTGCACAACGTGCATTTGACGTGGGGTGGTAGCATAGGGGCGGTCGCTTGAACGGCGATAGTCCCTAATGTATGTAAATGGTGTGGAATATCTAACATTCTCATGAACTCTAAACGCTTCTTGGTACCAATTATCAGATATTGATGACTAGATATTCCACACCATTTCTTAAATTTCCAATTGCAACGTCATGTTAAATGCAAATGTAGGTCAAGATAATGAGGTTACTTCTATTATTTGGGTGGGTAAGGATATACAGCGGAATTTTAAAATGTCAACTATCCCTTTTGAAAACTTCGATATATGTTTTTTTTTTATTTATCATTTTTTTCTTTGGCGATTAATGCAGTGAATAAACAAGACGTTATTTGTTATCACAGAATTCGGTGTTTGTTATTGTAGTTACAGTTTAACCACCTATCATCTGACGTGGGGCGACACCACTGGAGACTTTAAAAGGCGAGGCCACTAACGCGTTCGGTTTTGAATTAAGATTAGAGAACATTGTCGGATATTTCCACCTGTTCTACTTTTTATTTTTGTTTTGTTTTGTTTTGTTTTTAGGGTTTTGTGGGGAAGGGGGTATATTTTTTTCTTTCAGAGTAATATGGATTACGTAATAGAACAAGGAACCTGAAAATTATCAAATGTTTCATACTAACGAGCTCCAGGCGATTCATTGGGCATGACTCTTATATATATCAAACAACATAAAGACGAACAATTCTTCCCTGCGGAAGCATAGTACGGCCACGGTGAAATTGTTTTGGGGCCTTACTATCTCCTACGTAGTACTTAATATCTCCTACGTAGGACTTAATATATCTCCTACATAGGACTTAATATCTCCTACGTAGGACTTAGTATCTCCTACGTATGACTTACTGTCTCCTACGTAGGAGATACTATGTCCTACGTAGGAGATACTATGTCATATGTAGGAGATACTAAGTCCTACGTAGGAGATAGTAAGTCCTACGTAAGACCTAGTCGGGAACACGTTTATCGGGAACACGTTTCAGGGTATAGACTTACTCCTTCATCAGGTGAATTTTTTTTACATTTCAATATGATGCCATAGATGGACATAGGCTATATGTTTTGGGCTTTTTTATCCTTTGCATTTTATTTATTTTTAACAATATTTACAAACGAAAGTGACACATTTAGCGCAGTACACCATATCTCTAGCCCCCTACACATAACTGCAACACGTGCTTTAGTACATATTGTTTATCTATAAGGGCATTATTTAAATCGTAATTCATTCATTCATGTTCTGTGGAAAGAATGGCAGCAAAAACGAAGCCTTTTATATCATTAACGGAAATTATGTGAGGCACATATGTTGATCAATGAACATTCAAATGTCGTCTTTTCCGACGTCGCAATAAAATAAATACTCCATAAAGCAAATCATGGTGTAATGTTTTCAGGAATTTCTTTACATTTGAAGAAGTAACTTTTACTCTGTTAATGATGATGAAAAATTACTCAGAGTACATCTACACAAACAGCGAAATATGGGAATCTAAGAACTAATGAAGATATGTGACAGGACCATCCATTTCGCTGTTACATGATTTCTCATGTTGTGTAATTTCAATATTTCTTGTAATTTGTGACACTCCAACGTATCCGGTTACAAAGTGGATCCTTGCTTTGGAATAGTCTGGTTCATCGTCAACAACAGATACAACCAGACATTATTTGGTTCCTTCACACATTCCATGAGGACGAAAACAGATATCGTCGTGAAGTGCTTTGGAGACATTTACTGCAGTTTTTTTTGTTTTGTTTGTTGTTGTTTTGGTTGTTGTTGTTTTTTTGGGGGGGTGACAACTTTTCAGGCCGGCTTCGTAATTACATTCAATATTTGAATTTATCCAATCGGATAGGATTATACCCGTGAAGATCCGGGTTAGTATATTTGTCTTCGGTAACCCATGCTTATCGTAAGAGGTGACTAACGGGATCAGGTGGTCAGGCTCGCTGGCTTGGTTGACACATGTCATCGGTCCCAAATTGCGCAGATCGATGTTCATGCTGTTGATCACTGGGTTGTCTGTTCCTGACTAGATTATTTACAGATTGCCGCCATACAGCTGGAATATTGCTGAGTGCGGCGTAAAACTAAACTCACTCACCTACTCATCGGATAGGATTGGTTGATATGTTGGTTGGTTGTTGTTCAACAGTATTCCTGCTATATGGCGGCGGTCTGTAAATATTCGAGTCTGGACCGGACAATCCTGTGTTCAACAGTATGAGGATCGATCTGCGCAATTGGGAACCGATGACATGTGTCAACCAAATCAGCCAGCCTGACCACCCGATCCCGTTAGTCGTCTCTTAAGACAAGCGTAGGTTATAAAAGACCAATTCTTCACGGGTCGCTTATGGAATGAGTGAGTGAGTTGGGCTTAGCAGGATTCCAGTTACATCAGGTCTAACACAGATTTTCACAGATGCATCGGATTGGGAATTTAATTCAATATTCTACATTACTGAGCTCTTTTATAGCCTAAGGTAGATTTAGGGCCGCGCGAGTACGACTTTCGCACAACGTTGACTCTTCGGGCTTGTGTGTCAGAACAAACAAAACAACTCGGCATCCAGGGGGTTAATATCATCAACACTATTGGAACGGCATCCAGGGGGTTAATATTATCAACATTATTTGAACGGCATCCAGGGGGTTAATATGATCAACACTATCTGAACGGCATCCAGGGGTTATTATCATCAACATTATTTGAACTGCATCCAGGGGGTTAATATCATCGACACTATCTGAACGGCATCCAGGGGTTATTATCATCAACATTATTTGAACGGCATCCAGAGGTTTAATATCATCAACACTATTTGAACGGCATCCAGGGGGTTAATATGAACAACACTATCTGAACGGCATCCAGGGGGTTAATATTATCAACACTATTTGAACGGCATCATGGGGTTAATATCAACAACATTTTAACGGCATCCAGGGGTTAATATCATCAACATTATATGAACGGCATCCAGGGGTTAATATCATCAACATTATTTGAACGGCATCCAGGGGGTTAATATTATCAACACTATTTGAACGGCATCCAGGGGGTTAACATCATCAACATTATTTGAAAGGCATCCTGGGGGTTAAAATTATCAACACTATCTGAACGGCACCAAGGGGTTAATATCATCATTATTTGAACGGCATCCAGGGGGTTAATATCATCAACATTATTTGAACGGCATCCAGGGGGTTAATATCATCAACATTATTTAAACGGCATCCTCGGGGTTAATATGATCAACACTATCTGAACGGCATCCAGGGGGTTAATATCATCAACATTATTTAAACGGCATCCAGGGGGTTAATATCATCAACATTATTTGAACGGCATCATGGGGTTAATATCTTCAACACTATTTGAACGGCATCAAGGGGGTCAATATCATCAACATTATTTGACCGGCATCCAGGGTGTTAATATGATCAACACTATTTGAATGGCATCCAGGGGGTTAATATGATCAACACTATCTGAACGGCATCCAGGAGTTAATATCATCAACATTATTTGAACGGCATCCAGAAGTTAATATCATCAACGTTATTTGAACTGCATCCAGGGGGTTAATATCATCATTATTTGAACGGCATTCAGGTGGTTAATATAATCAACATTATTTGAACGGCATCAAGGGGGTTAATATCATCAACATTATTTGAACGGCATTCAGGGGGTTAATATTATCAACATTATTTGAACGGCATCCAGGGGTTAATATCATCAACATTATTTAAACGGCATCGTGGGGTTTATATCATCAACAATTTTAACGGCATCGAGGGGTTTAATATCATCATTATTTGAACGGCATTCAGGTGGTTAATATCATCAACATTATTTGAAAGGCATCCAGGGGGTTATATGTGTGCGTTGCAGCTGAGTGTTAGTTATTGGTGACGTAACAGGCGTCTCATGACCAGCTTACGTGAAACACGATTCTGTAAACACCATCAATCATAACGCAGAGCTCACTTCGGCGTTTGTGTTTGCCTACTTCCGAGACAGTCCAAGCGATTTAAGGGTTAAAGGCGACGTTTCAGAATAACCATTGGCGATTTGTTAAGAAAGACCACATACCAGTGATCTTTAATAGACAATTTTTCAATTCAGTTCACCGGGTAACTATATGATATTCACATTTGCAACATACAGTAAACGATGCAGCGAATGGCTTCATTAGTCAAAAATGGCGAGATTTACGAGGTATATAATTCTTACCGAGCATATCAGCAATTGTACTTTGCCTCAATAGCAATGTTACATCAAGAAACAGAGAATTGAATTAATAAAGCTGAGATTATTTGGGTGATGATTGTTATAAGTTTTTATTTTGTATATTGTGAGTTTTGTCCATGAAGTAAGGGTACATTTCCCTGTGGCACCAAAAGGGTTAAATTTCAGCAGTAATTAGGAGATAATCCTATTGTGTTTACATTTTGGAAATGATTATAGTTGGTTGAACGCTGCTAAATGCTTCCTTTGTTAAACGATCTAACGTATCCTTCCCGACCACATGATGGTATTTGACTAATATGTTGTATGGCAGCATTGCGCCGCTCTATGTCCTATCTGGCTGAGAAGACGGCCGGGCACCTCAGTGTATATTTGTGACGTCACCAGCAGTGTGACGTCACTGTCACTGTCACTGTCACGTCAGCTTGGTGAGGTCACAGAGTGCAGCAACATGTAAACAAACTGTTTGTTGTTGTCTGTTATTATGTTAAGACGGACGACGTTTTCGTACAATCACTCACCGTTTATGTTTACACTCACTTCACAATTTTTCTTACCTGATCACGCGAGGTTCCAAACACAACAAATGACAAAAAGTCTGAAAATACATTCAACAAGTTTTATTTATATTCACCAAGAAAAAGGAAATCATGTGAATCGTGACACACGACTACGTAAACGGCACACACCTCGTCAGTGTCAGTAACGACATGTGCTCCGTCTCTGTCCACACCAACACCACACTGACTTCAGTGAGCACCACGTGACACCAGGAGATCCAACACTCGCTTATGTCTCCCGCGCCTCGTTCAGAAGGCCGCTGTCCACCCGTTGTTCTTCCTGGCGTTGATTTCCACCACGTTCAGGGACAGGATCAGCTCCACGGTCTCCCAGTCTCCACCTATACAGGCCAAGTGAAGGACGTTGTCACCGTCCCTACCCACCAGGAACGCCACCACATGTCTGTGACCCCTGAGTGCCGCCTCCATCACCGGTGTTGTGGTGCTCCATCCTCCTCTAGTGTTGATATCCACGTTACCGGCTAACAGGATCCGCTTCACTCTCTCCAGGTCACCGTCCCTGCTGGCGGAGTAGAGGTCGCG